AGTTAAAAATATAATGCAATGGCATAATAGGTACTCATAAAAAAGATAACGTGTTTTCCGAGGGAACCGAAAATTGTGGAGTTTTATTTATAATATAGAGAGAAGAGGAGTGAAAAAAGACAATGTTTTGTTAAGTGAAAGGTAAAAACAAAGTATGTGGCAAAAGTCATATTCAATTTTGCTTTCGTGTAAAGTGCAGAAGGTCAATAGAATTAATAATTAGTTACGAGACTAAAAGAGTATATTGGAAGAAGATTATGATCAAAACGGAGGAGAGTGAAAGAGATAATACAGTCGGTACCTACGTCTGTCAAGTTCTCAGCATCAAAGATGATATTACGAAACTTGAAGAGAAAAATGTCTGTTCCATATTTATACATAACATAATTATTAGAAAGCGTTTTGATCTTAAAAAGCCAAAAAAGCCAAAAAAGTATATAGTATTTTATTCCATATTCAAATAATTAATAAATTCTAAGATTGTAGAATCATTTAATGTTTAATCGAGGAGATTTATAACATTCTGAGATGTAACATAATAAATGTTTTATATATGACTTCCATATAGTTTGCTTATTAGACCTTAAAATAATTGTAATGCATAACTAATAAAAATACTGTATGTAAAAGTATTTAGATGTACCGATGAATACTTTTATACGATTTTATATTATTTTTTAATTGTAATTTCAAATAAAATAGATCAAATAAATGATAAAAATGAGATTTTAAATACACTGTTAATACAAATATTTAAGAAAAGTGAATTAGACTGGTTAGAGCTACGAGGATATAATTATGCAATATGCTTATGTCGTAAATTCGTGAAGACATCGGGCATGATCCTTGTATTTAATATATTATATATAAATAATTATTTAATTAGCGTATATTATGATATCTAGGTAGTAGGTACCTATGCGAATACGATTACATTTCATATGTTAGAGTATAGCATGTAATCTCACACATTTAAAGTAACGGTTCATGTTGTTGAAATAATTGTTATAGAATTACATACAAATATACGTTGATAGTGTTAGTGTACCATATGAACAAAATATGATTGAACGATTCATTCAAAAGTAGTAGGTAGTAGTTATACCAAGGCCGTAACTGGAAATTATTTTCGGGGGGGGGGTTTTAAGCTAAGATTCTAATTTCTAATTTTATTATAATCTTTGAATTCCGTTGTGGTTTTCAACCCACCGAGTATCATTGATGTCAGTTTAGTCCACTTAGTATAATGTGTTTTTTATTTTAGTTTTAGTTTTTTAATATAATAATATATAGTTATTTTACTACCACATAATGAACACGAAAAAATTGGGGGGAGGGGTTGACCTCCCCCCCCACAGATACGGCCTAGAGTTATACGATAATATTTAAATCTGTACAAATCTTAAAGATACCTCTGTATAGAACATAATTTACTGTTAAATGCCTAAATCAAATAATAATGCTCTTCATATTTTTTTTACATCATGCGCATTGAACGAGTACACAAAAAAAATCAATGTTTTAATTTCAGCATTTTTATTTATATTTTAATTTAAAGCTTCAAAAAAAATGTTAGCTGTTTACATTATTTTTTCTTTGTATTTATTTTTAATTTAAAAAATACTTAGTATATAAATGCAAACATTACAATATACGAGTATGCGATCTCATTATTATTAATAGGTACTATACAAATATACAATAGGTTACTAATTATTAATTTACCGCTAGCGATAGTGCGATACTATACAACGACCAAGATATCTAATAAATAAATAAAAATATGCCTTATTAGTATTTATTTTTATGATTTAATATGTAATTATTTATCGTCGATTTCAAACTTAACACATACGTTTAAGTGAATTACTTATCTGCAATGACGAGGAAGGTACTCGGCACCAGCTTTATAGAAGATTTAAAAACAGAACCTAGTTAAAAAACGTACCTAGTTAATAAATGCTCGGTACTTATACTACAATAATACAACATTCAAGTAAATTTGTAATTTTTATATCATCAACATTTATAGCTGATGTTAAAAAATGAATAAAACTTTTATATTTGTATTAATGAATTAAATTTAAATTTAAAATATCTTTAATACTTTTCAATTACCTACTAATTTCAATTTCATTGTGTTTTGGCATATTTTTTTATACTTTGGACTTTTGGACTTTTACTGCAGTAGATTGTTGACGATTTATCATTAATTCTCGTTGATACCAATTACCAATACATAAAATTATTCGGAGTTTGACTGAATTAATTTTTATACCTTAAAGTTTATCAAGATCAATCGCCAATCGGTAAAAGCCTGAAATTCGGACATTTTTTAGCATTAATATCTAAATTGTGTGTTTTACTGGTAAACCAAGGCTTTTCCGGTATTAGTACTTTCACCGTAGCATAATATATAAATACAAATATGTGAATCAGAAAATCGGCGCCAGGAGAACGATCAGACGCCACACAACGACCATACGAAACGAATCCATGCAAGGGATACACCTTGGTCTAGGTTGTTAAGTATAGGCATTATAGTAGTATACAATGATATTGGAAGAATTGATTAACAGTATTGAAAAGTAAAGATGGAGAACTAACGGTTTTATAATATACAGTATACACCGTACCGATACGGACAAATAAGTAATATAACAAATAGGACATAAAACCATGGGATTTAGTGTAACATAAGCTATTATTATTTAATATTTATTACTAATTATATCTAGTACTATAGTAAGTACCTCCTATTTAACTTGACGTCTTAAAATTTTTTTAAGTTATGAAAATAAAATAATATAAATATTTAATAAGTGAAAACTATAATATAATTCTCAATCAGTAATTTATATTATATACTGTATTTACTATACCTTTATTAAAATTTAAATGTTAAAACTATAGCAATAAAAATGAGGTTCTTAAACAATATTATTATTGAGTGTAAAATGTGTGTGAAAAATTGATGAAATGTATTTATTTTTTATTGGTTGTAAAGAAAACAATAATTCTCAAATTTTAATTGTTTTAAATATCAAAATATATTATTTTTCACTTTAGGCGAGTAGGTAGTTATTTAAGCTGCAGTGATTAAAAAAATTCAAATTTTGTCAACTGGTTGGTACATATTAATGAATGTAGACATGTATGACCTTATTATTAGTTACTAGTATTATTAGTTAGTAGTTTAAAATCATTAAAAATAACATTTAATTTAAAAACTAGTTTTTTAATAATAAGTCTGCTTGTAGTTTCAATCATATAGAAGTATGTTGTTATACTTCTTTAGGTCAACCTTATTTCATTACCTACACCTCTTCAGACTTTGTTTAATAACAAGAAAATTACATTGCACTTATAATTGCTGCAAACAAGAACAATCTTTCAGTATAAGGTCATTCTAAGAAAAACTATATAATTAAGTACCTATATAAATATTTAGGTACCTATACACCTTAATATTTGATTCCTACATATTTTTATCGATATATCAAAAAGTAACACATAATATAATCCCTTTGTTGAAATATGGGTTAATATTTAAAATCGCATGTAATATTTTTTATTTATGAGTTAAAAATTATTATTTTAACTCATAAATAAAAAATATTACTTTAATTGAACTATTTCAGGTATTCAGTGTTAAACAATTAAGGTAAATGATAAAATACGCTTCTACATCGCACGTGACCAAAAAGTCTTCAAAAATTAACTACCTACCAATGAATTAAGGTTTCTGAAAATATGTGTCTTTATTACAATATTGTATACACCTATTTAAAATATATAAACACGAAATAATTCTACTTTGAATTTAAACTACCATATTAAAATACTAGTTTTCGAGGATTAAGTTATCCTCCTGTCATAGTGTCGTTATATTGTACAAATATATGTATAATTCAATATATTTTATGTACCTATACCTGCATATTACTTATATTATATATAAATTTAATACATATATATCTGAGTACAGTCAATAGTATTTATAGTTTTGTTAAAACCAGTACTGTCGTCGGTACTCGCTAGTAGGCAAGGCCAGTTTGCATATTATATATATATCTAACATATTCAGTATAATAATATTATGCTGATTTTAAACACTCGTGTCTACTAGCATTTAGCTACATACCTATAATCGAACGCTTTTTTTTTAATCATTGCGGAGTCACAGTGTTAACACGAGCTATTGTATACCTACCTATATATTCACAAAGTTAATCGTTATCATATTTTTCCTCTTTAGAAAGTTCGCGGTATAAATGAAAACATTTCATCTTGGTCTAGCGTGCAGCTGTCAGGTTTATTATTATAATATTATAATGCAGTGGCGTACGCAGGATTTTTCAGTGGGATTGTCAGTAAGTTTTTTTCAAATATCAACAAAATATTATTCGTTTGGGTAAAAAGTTAAAGATGTAATACAAGATTTCTAGTAAGTTTTTACTATGCTATTTAAAAATATTACGATTTACGATACAATGGCACGATTCTTTTTTATAAGCATTTCAGTTTAAATTTTGACAAAACCATAGTTAATTTGTTATTAAACTTCCATAGGTATCTAAGGCATGACATTTTAATACAAGGTCTTTCATATTTCATACAAGTAGTTCTTACTTTTACCAAAAATTGCTGATCATTTTATGAAAATTGGTATGCAAATACAATGTTTTTGCAAAAATGAATTCTACTTTTCTAGCCACCTATAAGTACATATTACTAGTTATTGGCTATTTCTAACTCGGTAAGACGTATAAGAATTTACGTCCTTGCTAACTAGTTGACTTGATAAATATTTCTTTTTTAAGTAATAATATGGGCAACGAGAGGAAGGCCTTCAGCACTTTAGCCACCCTTCCCCCTACTCTCTGTGTACTCAACTGTTATAATGTTAGGTACAAGGGCTTTGGACAGGAATAGGTAAAACTTGAGTTAGGTGCAGGAATAATGATAGTTAACATATAATGAATATAGGTACAACGCACCTACCTGTTGGATAAGAATTCAAATACGTGGTGCACACACGTCGGTTTGGCGGCGTCGGCGTCAAAAATCCGGAGGTCGACGAAAGGACAGCGGATCGCATAGTTTATTGCATTAGGTACACCACAGAATCACATATTTACGAATATTATACAAAAAATGTACAATACAAAATACTGTAATAATATTATGATATACAGCCGGTCGATTAGGGATACACTTTTTGAAACGAGATAATCGCGATAACGGCTTGTCGTTATTTAAGTATAGGTATAAATATATAGGATATATCGTGGCGATCACTCCGACACAACACGCACCGTCGGTAAGAAACACAATTATAATGAGTGTAAACAGCAAGTGTAATTTTGTTATTTGGTTAATACAATTAAAATGATGATCGCACGGCGTAAGTAGGCACTACACTGATCGACGCGTATTACCCGGTACAACCAACGTCTACGCAACTACGCAAGAGACTCGCGATGACCATCGTGGTCCGGCATGGTCGGTATTGGTATTTGGTATAAACTATAAAGAGACGGTTACGTACCTACGCGGTGCGCTGGAGTCTGGCGTACGTATGTGACTGCCGAGTGCTACAGTCGCCACTGCTGAGCATCAGGAGTAGGTAAAATAATAACAACAATAGTAATAATAATAATAATATATGATATAGCAGGCATAGTGGCGATGGTATACCTGTTGCGGTGTATACGCACACTGTACAGGTGCCGAGTGCCGACGGCCGGTCCCGGTGTTGGCGTCTGCGGGAGGGGGGAAACAGGTAAAAAGATAATATTATAAAGAATTTCGGTGAGGGGACGACGCCGCCGCCGTGCACTGCCTGCCAGCTATCGTACGTTCCAGCAGAGTGCCGCGCAGATACGCCGCCGCCGCCGCCGCCGCCGCAGTGCCGCACGTCCTGCCGAGATCGACGGGAGGTATAATAATATCTACCTATATAATATTATAAGTACTATAAAATATACAATAATAATCGCCAATGCCCCGGTTTAATGCCACTGTACGTATAATAAATATATATATATATATTATATATGCATGTGGACGAACTGGTTATATACGTGCATTTTTTTTTAACATGATGCGGGTGATTATTAAAAAAATAATTTTAATTGATATGTTAAGGTCTATAATAACAATCATTACATCCAGGAAAATGATACGTATTATATTGTATTATACGGGGTGATCCATTTAACGTAAGTCGTAAGACACTCATTATTTCAAAAACCACTAACATTTTGGAAAATATTTCTTCTATATAATATGTTATTTGTCATAGATGTTTCACTTCATCCGAGTCGTCTATTGCCACACACAATTGTTTACACTTTTTAGTATAAAAAGTAAAAACGTGTCAACATACGTTTTTAATTTATTAATTATTCTGAATCATCATATTATCTACAAATATCAAATTTTGGACAGTTAGTTTATTAGTTATCACTTAAGGTTTTTTACAGTTTAGACAATTTTAAAAATTATAACGATGAAAAATATACTTATTCGAAAAGTGTTGTTCGTTAATGACTTCAAATTATTTAAAAAAAAATATTTTCAAAAACGTTAATAATTTGTATAATACTTAACGAATGTTTTACATTAAATGTACCACTCAGTATATATTTCTATGTATAGGTAGTAGGTACATGTACTTTAGTGGATATATTATAATCACCCAGGCACGGTGTGTCAGCCTCTATAGGTACCTAAAGGAAAAAATTATAGTTTTAATATTTTGAATATTTAATTGTTTGTAGAATAATTACCTATTCATAATGGCAAGAAGATTCAAGTTACTAGCTAAATACGATCAATATTTTTTAAATTACTCATAACATTGAGTCATTGAATATATTAACTAAAATCGTCATTTTTCGATTGAATGTCCAATTTCATCAAGATTTGAACTTCAAACGTTCATAAAAATAAAATATACCTAGGTTTATTGTGTATCATATATTATTTTATTTTAGAATAAATGGGCTGAGCCTTTTTGTAAATAAGCAAGACAAGTATAATGTACACATTATGGTTCACAAAACAAAGAGAAAATTTTTTTTAAAAAATACATACAATTATGAAGAAAATGATACACAAAAAAGTTAATAGTGTTATACATGTGTGGTTACACTATGTAGGTATGTAGCTTTACACTTTTCATTTTATTAGGTAAAAAAAAAATTATCAGAACATTTGTAATACATTTTTTGTGAAGCTTACCTAACCGTAATATCTATGCATAATAATTATATGATATAATGGATATATCACTATTTAAAACTTCAGAGATTCTAAGAAAACTGACCAACTATAATATATGGTATACATATCGAACTAATAATTTTTCTTAGTTAAATAACTAAATAATAAAACAAAACATTTATTTTTAAGTAATTTATATAGTCTCTATGTATCCGCAAGGGATCAACCGGATTCTTAATTTATACGATTTTTACGGTTTGAGAAATTAATTTTAGAAACGTTAATATGAGTAATAATGATATTATTATGAAAAAGCTGCAGGATTGTGCACAATACATCATGTATACCTATTACCACCTATCTAATTTATTACAATTTATATTTAAAGTGTTATAGGTATTTAAATATTTTCAAATTATTTTATGTTAAGATAATATTGCAAAAGACCATAAACGTTTACTATAGTAAAATTTATTGTCTTGGATCTAAATTTTATTACCTGTACCTATGTGTTGATGGCCAATAGTGAAAATTGGAAATTACGAACGCATTACCTAGTGATTTAACGTTTAATCCGTAATGGTAATGCGAACAACTTAATATCAACTAATATATATTACCTACCTATATATTTATGTCTTATACTCACTTTCTCTGATATAAAATCGAAATAAGTATCATGCTATTTATTTACATTTATATATGTCGGAAAAGATATTTTAATAAGGTTATGTTTCAAGATTCAACGCTATAAGTAACCTATATGTATACAATTTATTGCGTTATAGGAATATGAAGGATTTGTGTTTATCACCTAATGTTTCTAATACATATATATACAATGTGATCCATGTTTACACTCATTATTTTTAAAAGTTTTAATTTTTATAAAAATATATTATACTAAAAGTTATAATATTATAAATTATTTGATTTCATTGCAAAATTACAAAAAAAATTATTAACTGGTAATTCAAATTGTATTTTGTACAAATTATAATTATTAACGGCTTGTCGGTGTGTATCCATATAATTATATTAGTTATAGGTATATTATTGTAAGTTATTAACGAAAAAAATATGTATATATAATCAATATAAATCCCTAACTTTTTCTGCATTTGTATTGAACATTGATATTTTTAATATACAGCAGCTTTTGGCCGACGATCTCTTCGGGAAACCGGACAAATCTTCGGGGAGAAACTCTATTGTGAAATCAGGGAATGTCCAATTCCACCTTACAGACGTACTGGACGACAACAGGAAAATTAGTGGGCCAGTGCTCCGAGCCTGCAGAGGTGTTCTCGTTGGGCTGCCAAGAGTCAAGACGACTCGAAATTGTTCATGTCTGCATAGTTTATTTTATTAACATTTTGAAATTTTGAATAGTTTATTGTGAGACTACTGCCTAGTGGTAAGTAATTGATCCGTAATAAACATGAGTGGTGCATGATGGAAATCATAGTTGTACACCTCTTATAAGTGTAGGCACTTAAATGAATCGCCTTATGGATTATATATATTATTCAATTACAGCGTATAACAAATATATACCTACTCCACAATAGTTATATCTCCAGAATCGACAAAAAAGTGTACATTTCAACGGAATTGTTACATACCCACTTACATATTTTGTTAGTTAGGTATTTCGTATTTGATTGATAAGTTTCCAGTATTTCTCCGACGTACCTACAATATAGTGCAGTCGACAAGTCTTTTTAAATATTGTTGGTATCTGTACTGTAAAAATGTTTTCCAAGTCTCCCGGGAGTCAAAAATTGTATTAAATTCTAACATTTTTAAATGCCATAATTTACAATGTAATGTTTGAATTTGTTTGATAGTTTCCAACATTTTTTGACGTTTCTACAAGACTTAAAAAAAACCCACTGCATACCTATGTACCTAGTCACTACCTACGTTGTCCCCAGACGAATATGTGCAATAGTTATTAATCGCACATGCTGGTTGCAGCCTTATAGGCTTACAAAAAAAATGTACACATTGATTTCTGCTATAGCAGTTTTAATATTCCTTATATAGTCTATAGACACCCATGATTGAGTTTCTCTATAAACCTAAAAAAAATCTTCCCTTTTTAATTTGGCTGGATACCCAGCATTTTGCAGTTATGCACAAGTGTCCTATCAATTCTTTGGTTATAATATGTTTATATTATTGTATATGGGTGCTTTTTCTTCAAAATATAATAATATTAACAGCATATTTCGTTATTAACTATTTTCCAGGTATAATTTGGGAAATGGACTGACAGTTGTAGTGTGAGACGTTGGTGTTGATACCTGTAATAGCCCATCCACAATGCCGTCCGATGGTAATTATATATCTTAGGGACAAAATAACAGTCATTTGTACGTGTTCGTCATCAGTTGGCAAAGAAGATCTATGGAACTAAAAAAAAAAAGTTTTTGCACAATCCATACAATGCGCCTGGGTTTGTTCAACACTGTTCTGGCCATAGACCGACGGCCGACGCTGGCTATATTACTAACATTAAAAGTATTTCTGTTAAAAAAATATAGTACCAACTACCAAGTCCAAATGACTGTATAAAATTTAGCAGCAAGTGAGATGGTGCCAGGATCTCTGTAACTTGTAAGTCTAGGCCTGTTCGATCCCTGTCGCCGGGGCACCGGGCGTCCGGGCTGTTATTCAACAGCTCTCTTCTGCAGTTGAAAGCTCCACCAACACAATTAAAATATACCCATTGCCCATATATGGCCATATATACTCATATCCACAATCCATGCTCTAGGAAGCTACCTACACTATTTTTACTGGCAGAACAGGGTTGCACGCGACTTACATGCCGGAAGTCCCTTTGCGTGTATATTATACTATCGAGCTGTCATGTTTTATTCAATTCTAAATTGACCCACTTTAAATAGTACCTATCATTATAATACAACACTCTCGAGTAATATTACTATATTGATGTCTGATATACATATATATAACTGTATATGTTTATAATGTAGGTAGTATATGTTTACTATCACAGCTCGCTACAATATAGATTGACTAGTTTATTTTCAAGTGGAGTTAAAATAGAAGTCATAAAAGTTTTTGATGTTAAATTTAGAACTAGGTATTATTTATATTTCAATATTTTTTGTTTTAAGTAGGAAACAGTAAGTATTTAAATGTAGGTATAACCTCTCTGCCTTTGAATTTGTATTTATTGCCAATTCCTGTGAGTCATCTGGAGAACGAGATGTCGCGATTCTCTACAAAATGTACCTAGGTAGGTATGGATTTTATATTTTTATTCATCTTTAGTAAGTAAACCACATTAAAATATAAAACCTATATATATATATATTATGTACAGTTTTGTAAAATGTAAAGAATTATTTTATTTTGTATTCGGAACATGTATTCGAATAAATGAGTATTAAAGTATTGGGAATACTATTATAAAATACATTTTTCTCCCCTTCGATTATTGGTCAGTTTTGGAATGGTTGGAAATTAACGTGGGTCAATCATATATTCATATTCATTCAAAGAGAAAAACTATTGTTTTATATAATGTGTCTTATTTATAAAAGAAATATTTGTTTTGTCACAAATATAAACTATTTTTCGAGCTAAAAAAATATTATTCAGAATACGTATTCGAATAATTTTTTCAAAAAGTATTTCTTAAAATAGTATTGGAATAAAAAAAAAGTATTTGAATACTTTACAATATTAAATATTTTTTTAAACATAGGTAGGTAATTTATATCATACCCGGTGCCTATATTTAATTTATAAATAGACACATCAGAACTAAAAGAATCTAGAGAAAAAATCCCCATGGCAACTTCTTAATAAGTATCTACCTACCTATTAAAATATGAAAAATGTGTACCTATAGGTAAATTGTAGGTAATTAATATATACCAGTACCTGCTTACCTTAAAAAGTATATAAACATCACAATATCTACATAAAATAATAATATGTACCTATATAATATTTAAGTTAAACTCAAAAGTAATAGCTAATAGGAATCGGTATTTAGAATTCACAAATGTTTTTGATTCAAATATAAACCTATAAACCTATAAACAATGTAGGTAGTAGGTAATTCACACTTCAAGATAGTCAGTCGGTTTACAAAAACCTAGTCGACTCACTTGTGGATATTGTTGGACACAGCTGTCAACAATTATCTGATACTTATTTAATTAGAATTCTCACCTAGTTTTCTTTTAGACGAATATTGGTAATTACTAATTTGATTGCATAGGTTGTTAAGCAAAGTAAGCAAAGATCATGGTAGTAATAATTTGTAGTTCATAAAATCACGGAAAACTCAACAAAAACATAAAAATAATAAGTTGTACCCACGGACGTACAATATACGTCCGTGGTTGTACTTATGAATCCTATCAGATAGGTATTATAGTATCTTATCATTTTTTTTGTTTTGCACTTTCCCAATTCCACATTTCCACATTGTTTTCCCTATAGGTACCTACATAGGTGCAGATGAAGTTAATAGCCACCACACCAACATTTGTTTTCTGTTTGTTTCACGTGTAGGTAATGTATCAAAAAAATGAATTCGGAAGTACTTACACTTTAGTGATTACGACTGTCTGGTTTAGTTTATAGTACAAATGGTTTTAAACCAGGCCCCACTAGGGAGACCTGAGAATTTTTCATTATGACATATAGGTATAAGAAGGTATATTATATATATTTATCCTATATTAAACAACATATTTCAATATTATAGAGTGGTGAAGGGGCGTGACCTCAAGTTCTCATATAACAGTATGAATACTGAATAGGGCATGGATTCCAAGAGATTAAGAACCCTATATGTTTTATAATTAAGGATATTTCCCATCCCCATGCATTGACATAGTTAAAAATAAGTGAGATTAAGTTAAATTAAAACTAATTTATTTTGATGAAAAATGATAATACCAAATTATTGGTACACTCGTCACCCAATGCACAATAAATATCCTTTTTAAGATTTCAAAAATCACCAACCAGTCGTAATCGCGGAAGTACTTATTGAATACTTCTGACTTAAGAGTTAAGAGTTATATTAAGTGTGAGACACACAGAAGACAAAATATGTTGGTGATTTTTTTTTAATTGCTGAATTAAAGTTATGACGTAATTCAGTTCAAGCACAACTAATGCACTTTCGTTTTCCTAATATCCTTAAATTAATTTAAAATCTCTGCACATTACCAGTATCACTGAACAAATTCAACAGCCATACCAGAGAATACTTTTTTTTTTAAATGCATAAGTGCATTCATATTTTGAGGTTTTTAAGTATTAGAAGTCCTTCTAAAAATAGTCTGTTGTTGATTTATAAACATAATGGTAAAATATGCAAAAATATTTTTTGTGTTTTAATTGTATGCATCAAATTAAATATTGAATATGCAGCTTCATAAGAAATATGTAATTGCAAGAAGTTCTAAGCCCTGCTAATGAGTATTTTAAGTTCAGATGAGCGGTGTAAGATCAATAATTTGTGAGGTATACAAATTATGTAATACAATTATGTGCCACTCTACTCCACTTATCCAAACTTTAAAATTTAAATACTTTCAAGTTCTTTTATTATTAATAAACCTCTTGTTAGAAATTCTCAGAAAAATATTTTGCTTCAAAACATGAAAATGAAAACATATCATAGTCATTCAGAAGGTTTAACAATTATAAAAATATAAAATCTGACATCATACCAGTTTCTATATTTTATGCTATCAACCTGGGATATAAAAAAATTTAAATTACATGCCTCTAATTTCTTAGATCAATTTACTATTACAGTTTGTAACATACACACACATTTCCTTTTCAGTAATTTTACAGTACTTTATAATTATATTTTTAAGTAAAAAAAATATATAATAAAACAACCTGAGAGGATAAATTAATTAATCAAAAATTTATTTAGATTTAATCATATCCATTGAATCATTGATTTTGCAAACAAATAGTTACACAATTTTAAAAATCAAAAACTCAAACACTAATTAAACAAAATTTTAAATTTTTGCCTTCAATATTTTGAGCAAGGTTGGTAAAAATATATAAGTATTTGTTTCTTGTATTTGAATACCATTAATTCCATATTTTAAAATGGATTGGCATTTAAAAGCTTCATCGTTAGATATAATATTTGAAAGTATTCCACAATCTAATATATCTTTTAGATTTCCATCATCAAATAATTCATTTATATTTTGGAATTTTGAAACAAGGTTATTTAAAGTTTCAAAGCCTTCTAGACTAATATCAGGATTTTTCCCATACTCTAAGAATATGGAAAGCCAAAAGTCCACAGCTGGTAAACTTATATACGAACTTCCACTCAATGACTGTAAACATTTAAATACCAAAAGTATTTCTTCAGTAGACAATTCTTTTGGATATTTACTTATTGCCACCATTAAGCTTAAGGCCCAAGGGCCAGTTCCTCCATTAGTTGCAGGTTGAATTCGAAATGTAGCTTCCATAATTTTCAAGATCAATAACTAACAATAAAACCAATAGTTATAAATATGAATACAAAAATGTTGGTTATATTTTTCAAAATTACCCGATCTTTTTGTTGGCCACTTTTGAAAATGACCAAAAATAAATTGAACAAATCCATATTTTTTAAAACTTGCCAATCACTTAAAGAACGTGTACCATCTCGTAATATTTCAAAAAACCAACGCATGTGAACTGCTTTATCCTTAAATCCAGAACTAATAAACACAGGAAAAAAAATTAATTAAATGTTATCATCAATAGTGTATCAGAATATCTGGATACATACAATGTAGTTATAAATGTTTTCAATTCGGGAATATGATTGAGCCGAGCAGCAGGACGAGCCAAAAGTAATCTATAGCAAGTAAGGTCAATACTTTTCTCATGATTAGCCATAGCTAAAACCATTTTGCCCAAAAATAATGCTTGAATCATTGACAGTTGAGGAGGAGGTTTCAAATGCAAATCTTGGATGCCTTGTGCAACCCAAGAACAAAAATGATCCCAAAACAAGTTTTCAGCTCTTCTACTGTAGAAGTTTTTAAAAAAAATATGATAATAAATGTAAATTGATTAACATTATTATAGCTTACCAAAATAAATGAGATCGTAGTAATGTTAATACATGATACGCAGCTTTTCGCATAAGGCAGTCGTAACTGCCCAAACAAGCCAATACCATTGACAGACAACCACTTCTATTAAACTTTTCAATACTCAATGGTGCTTCGGTAGCCAACAAACTGCTTATCATAGGTAGAAAAAATGATGGGTCAAACATTTGACTTGGATCCTTAGAGTCTTTGGTGGTGTACAGTACAATTTTTTGGTCCTACATTGTTTACATTTTTAAATACAATTTTTGTTTTGAATGATTTCATTAATTGAATGCTTACTTTGATGTATAGAGGTCTATTAATAGGAAAACAAGATATAGTTTCTTTTAGTCTTTTTAAAGGTATATATGAAAGCACTTCAGTAGTAGAAGGAAAACTGTTCAATGTTTTTGATATAAGATGGTTTTTCACTTGATAATGTGATATGGCAAATGATCCCCATAAGTAAGGTCTATAATTAGACATTGGTATAGAATTGTCTTCATAACGAAAAAGAATCTAAAATAATAAAAATGTTTACTGACTAATTGGTAATTTTGGTTTTTTAATTTTAAATATATCAATTTACCCTCAGCAATATTTGATCAACAACTGATAATGATGCATTGTATGAGCAGAGGAAAAGTGGAACATGACTCAGAGCCATTATTGATGGTTCTTTCTTAACTAAAGTTTCAATCATTCTCAATACTTCTTCTGCAAGTAAAAAAATATTTTATTTTGAATTATTTTAAATTCATACATTTTAATACTTAAATGTAAACATTTAATTCCTAAAATTATTATTTGTTTGTTATTTTATGGTTTCTAAACTTTTTTAAGCTATAATTGTATAGTTTTTTTAGTCATTGATATACTCATATAATATAAAAAATTAATTACCTTTTTGAATTTGTTTAGCATCTCGATTTAACATTATATTACTAAATTGTGAATAACCAGCAAGTAATTCAAAAGATTTTGATACAATAGATTTATCTACATTAGCTTTTTTAACTAATTTCCTCAAAACTCTAATAAAACCATACTCCGGGTTTTCTTCTACTAAACCATATTTTATGGATTTTATAGTTATAGCATCCCAATCACTAATTTGTATTGGACAGTTAGTTTCTAATAATTTTAAATTATTAATAATTTGATTAGATAACCAAGTAATATCCTCACTGAAAAATAAAAATGTAATAAGTTCATTTGGTTAAACAAAATGTAATATGTATTTTCAATAAAAAAATTGTTTTTACCTTTCAGGAGGCAAAGAGAAAAGCGCTGTAATTAGAAACTGAGTAAATTCTAGTTCTTTATTACATTTGGCAGCAACTAAATCGACAAAAGAAACTGCTGTCTTTGTGATTTTAAATATTGACCAGTTGGTTTTTAGTTTAGTGAATAATTTATCACATTCGTCTTCATCTAAAGAATATAAAAACATATAAACAATAACATGGATGAAATAGAAACAATATACAAAACCATACTATTTTACGTGCATGGTGTATAATTTATATTTGGTACACTATTTGCTGGGTTGCATGCAAAATGTATTAATTTAATGGACCAATCATTGGCCATTAAATTGTGTTTAAAGGACCATTAGCTCACTATTGATTCGTTAAATGTTTAGTGATTGTTCATGCAACCCGGCATATACATTTTAATTTCATTTCATTTAATCCTAAATTATTAGTGTTCATTTATTTATTATTGTGAAAATAATCATTAAATTATGCTAATAGTATTGTTTGTTTATTTATCATAAATTGCCTAATGTTATTATATCAACTTTAATCAAAAACTTAACTATATTATTGAACAACAATTTAGTATTATATTTAATCTAATTTGCTAAACAATTATAACTTTATTTTTGACTAAAAAAAATAAAATGGTAGAAGGATAAAAAATAGATTAAATAAACATTTACTGTTTAATAAGGAAGTAATTAAAGGAGAAAAATGTTTAGTTTCTTAGTTATAAAGAAGCTGACCGGCTGTTGTTTAGTCATTAAAATATTGTATTCTAGTTTAAGATCAAAGTCTAAGAGAGATAATATCAATTTAGCTTCTAATCAGGAAATTAGGTAAAAAATAATAATAAAAATAATAATAGTACATGGCAAGAATACAATGTTTTTACAATTTAAATTCATGTAATAATCTTAAACAGTGGGTAACAATTTATTTATTATGAGATACTTTAACCTGCTCTTAATTGATTTCAATGAAAACACAAAAGGCTTTAACAGACTTTAAAATGTCAGCTTGCAGTTACGCTTGTTGTATTTGTTCATTTTGATGAACTGTATTATCTACTTAAACTAGTAAAACTAATATTCATATTTCATTTAATTTAATAATTGTAATAATTATTTTTTAGTTATAATGGATCCATTTAGAAGGTCAAGTGTTATTCCAAATAAAGTATGTCATTTATTTGATGAATAATTTGTTTTAAATTTGTTTACATTTTATTACATTTTAAGGATGAATATTTGGATAATGCACAGACATTTAACCGAACTTCAAAAATGTTTGAAGAATTTCTACATAGTTTTGAACAGTATGATAAGGAAGAACAGCACAAGAGACGTGATTCATCATCTTTAAGTGACTGTGTTAAGGTACCTAGGAGAAGAGTATATGTCAAACAAAGTTATTTTCCTGTTGATGCATCATTTGTAAAGGCTAATCCAAACCATATTTACATAACTGATGTAAACGGACATTTGTACATTGTAAAGTATAAAGCAGTTAGATGGTGAAATTATTTTATATGCTAATTAATCATTACTTGTTTTGAAGAATATTCTTACTTTTAAAAACAGTAAAGTATTAACTTAAACTTACCAAATTCAATTAAATGTAGACCTATAAAAATATCTCCGTTTTCATTAAACCACTGTGGACTATCCATCAACATTTTATAAGCATTTATTTTATTCTTCATATTTCTTATAAGTACAGGATCACATAACATTTCTGGGAACCTTTGATAAAAAGCTGACATAAGGTAAGTCCATTGTTCTACAGGTAAATTGTCCAAATTTATATTATAGTCAATATCATTGTGTCGTAATGCCAAAAATAAAACTAAAGGATGTAAGGCTTCTTTTTCTGTGTTTGAAAAAATATGACTAAATAACCCTAAAAAAAAAAATACAAAATGAGAAACAAAATTAATTGTTTTTTCTTCATCAGATTAAAGTCAGTATTTTCTCCCAGCTGGACTTAATCTACAAGTCCTATCTAAAAGACAGACATTTCTCCATACAATATGGCTCAGCCTTATCTAAAATATCATTAATTAGAGCTGGAGTAACAAAAAGAGTTGTAGAGGCACCTCTCTTATCCAACCTGTACACTTCAGACCAACCCACTATCAACCTCATCACCACTGGTGACTGCTGACAATAAAGCCATCCTAAACCTCCACCATAACCATCTCGAGACATCCAACAGAATTCAAACCCAACTCAACATGCTCTCGGCGTGGTACAAAGAGTGGGGATTCAAACTCAACAAATACAAATTCATCTACTGCACATTCAGACCCATAAGCTACCCCTCTAACTTAACAACTAGCCTCTCTCAATCGCCCAAAATGTGTGTTACCTGGGTCGTTGGCTCATATGGCCTGCCTGCCCACATACGTAACAAATGACTAGTACTCAACAATCGTCAAAGAGAGCTTCGCCACCTCCTTTCATCCAAAGATGTTACACTACTTAATAAAATTCTCATCCACAAAGTACTCCTGAAACCTATTTGGTCCTATGGAATTCAACTCTGGGGATCAGCCGAAGACTCTAATATAAACAGAATTTGAATTTTTTAATCCAAATGCCTCCGACAGATAACTAAAGCTCCTTTTTATGTATCGAATGATACTCTCTACACGGACCTCCTCATTCCACCAGTCAAAAACGTCGATAAATCTCTATACCATATTTCTACCTTAAACTTGCAAATCACTGAAACCCCTTCATCCAAAACCTCTCTTCTCGAACAATCCCAGGCAACCCGGGTCGACGTCCAATGTGTAACTGGTACCATGACCTACTAGTCGATCAGTCCACTAACCACTGCTATCCACGCCATGAAGTTCTATTACTAAATAGTTTTTCCAATCACACCAACCATGACCTATTATGTATCCCTCCATCTATTGTGCTTATTGTAAATATATTTTATACAGATTGTAAAAATTAAATAAATATGAAAAGAAAAGATTACTTTTTGGAATACATGAAATTTGCTGTGAATAAATTTCAAGGTATTTTAAAACAAGATCCAACAATTCATAGGGCACAATATTTTCACAAATATATTCTGCAATAGCTGTAAATTGTAGATCATCGAGGTATTTTTTGTTTTCAACAAATTCTTTCAATTTCACTAGGTAGTCTTCCATGATAAATTGGTATTTTCAATTTAATTGCAGTCTATAAACAAAAAAAAATATTTTATAATTAAATAAAATGTAAACCAATTGTTTAATTTTAAATTTTGGATAGCTACATCAACATTCTCAGCAAATTATAATAAAAAGGGGCAGTTTTCATTTGAAAAAAAGTAATTTGCATGTCTACAGAGTATTCAGTATTTAGTAGTGACCTACAGTATCGGGTATTCATTTAGTATTTTTAGTCAAATTAACAATCATTCATAAAATTACGTTATTTTATCATCTACATATATGAAAATGAATTGCTGTTCGTTAGTCGCGATAAAAATCGAGAACGGCTGGACCAATTTGACTAATTTTGTTCTTCAATTATTAAGTCCAGAGAAGGTTTAAAAGGTGAGTGAATATGAAAATGTTCGGAATTAAATAAAAACAACGTACCTAAACGATGACTGAATCACTGGGAGTTAGTGAGGTCGCTAACCGAGAAAACTACTAAACCGATTTGGCAGAAATTTTTTAGTTATATTCATTATATAAGGTTTTACTACTACTATTGTGATTTTTTTGATAAGTGTTTGTTCATCAGGTAAGTTTAAGCAATAACGTTTAAAATTTTTAACAAACTTAAGTCATCGGTAGGCCGCCGTGCCATACTATATGTGTATAGGTATACAATTTGCATATTTATTTTAATTAATGACTAATTTTCAGTTCAACTTTATTCATTTTTTTAAATTTTTTGGTTGAAATTGGTTAATCGGGCAGATCAGGTTTAAAAATGCATCAAATTGAATTTTAGTACATTGTCTAATAAGGTGGCCGTCGGCTGAGTTGCAATATAGCCGCTCATTGGCGTGTACACAATCAAAATAATTAACTATACAAATTATAATTATAACTGTAGAATACTAGAATCATTTTTTAATAACAATATGTGTATAGAATCATTAGTAAATATTATTTATTTTTTTTTTTGAAAGGATTTTTCAAAATTAGACCTCTAAGGTGGTAAAAGAAAAGTTTTTTATACAGGGTATCCCGTGAGGATATACCCATTAGCCGTAGAAGAGGACTCACTGCCAGTACAAAAACTGGCTTTTTGCTGTTTTACCTATTGACTAAAAAATTGATTCAAAATCAGGAGATTAATAAAATTAAAATGTTGACACGTCAGTATTTTCAGAAAAATGAACTTAACAAAATGGTTATCTTCAATTTTTTTTTAAATAATTAATAAAAAAAATATATTTTTATCTTTTTTACCGAAACATAAAAAAAATATTAAAACATGAATTATTTGTAGTGCTTATCCCTGTGAGTCTTAATAAAAAACCAGAATGATGATATCTACATTATTTAAGGAGATATCGCAATGAGTAAATTCTCACGGGATACTCAGTATAGCTATATAATAAACGGGCAGTACCGTGACGGGACAGCTAGTTATTAATACAAACATATAATGATACAGGATTATATTCTAATAATGTCAAAATCAGTTAAATAAAATATCAGTAAAAAAAAAAAATGTAAGAATATTGAATACACATAAGTAAAACTTATAACACCAACAAGTCAAATCATTCAAAAAATGTCATAAAAATATTATTATTACTAAAAAAATGTATTTTGCCAGTTGAAAAATCTGTACATATATGGCTATACATTGTCCTTACATAATATAAATAATTGTCTCGGCAGGTCACACATTAAACAAATATTGAGTATTCTGCCTATAAGACAATCTTTAAATATATTATAATATCATGGTGTTAATGCGAGTGCTTAAAGCAATAAACCAAAACATTGTAGGCAGTAGTAACTAAAAAAATTATAGCACACTAATCAATATTTTTCCTTTAAAAGGAAAATCTATGAGTCATAAATATTTTAATAAGTAATCATGGCAACAAAAAAGTGTATCTTGCCTAAAATCATATTTATGTTAACATAAGATAATAGGTACGCATCACACGACCTACACTAGGTTAAAATACAAAAAATCACACAAAAGGCCACAAAATAATGTTTAAGGGATCATCATACTTATTATTGATTCATTACATTTTTGGTTACTATTCATGCGATCCAGCACTCGTATGTCACTTAACAATAATTTATACAAATTTGTGCAATATTAACATGAATACAAAATTTGTACAAGTAAATAAATATTGAAAATATTTACATAATAATGAATAGAATATTGACATACACAGGAATAATAAACATATCGTTTTTCCATATTCTTTATAACACAAAACCTAATGCAGATGTAATGAAAAATGTATTGAACTATTGAAACATGTCTTAAAATTAAATTGTCATTTAAACTAAAATACTTACATCAACTGTCAAATGTTCAACAGATCTCCAACAGTAAAAATGGCCAAACTACCAATAAACTATCATTTTTTTAAAAACCATTACGTATCTATATAGTATTATAGCAAAATTCAAATTTAAATGTTTAATTTAAAATTTAAAATTTCTTAGGTTATACCGCGTTGGAATAAAATATACTAAATACTATTTACGATTAAAGATAATATTATCTATAGCTAATGTTTATTATGGGCTTATGGTAAAGTTGGTAATGACCACAGATCTGCCAACGTCCCCCGTTATCAAGAGCCGCAAACGGTATCGTGATAACGAGTAACGACAAGCCTAGACAGTGTTTGGACCCGAACTCGAGACTCCTCTTATGATTGCTGAATCCTGGAGGTTGATTTTGGAAGTGCTTATAGTTTATTATTTTACTTTTTATGCTTTCAGAGACGATAGTATTTTTTGTAATTTTTTGCTTAAAATGCATGTACAATGATTTAGTTATAGTTGATTAAAATTGTTACGGTAATTGTTTTGTTTCATCCACACAGTTCACGCTTGACTGTCCCAAAATGGTCAACCCAATAGAAATACCTTTAAAGGACTCAGACGAGGTATGTAATATTATTACCTTACCTTTAAGACGTCATGTATTGCTCAGTTATACAAACAAAAATCTAATTTTAACTTTTTTGAATTTTGGGTTCATACTTCTGTGCCGACATTTATACAAAATGTTGTAGGGATTTTCAATAATTTTTTTTTTTTAATGTTATACTTACAATCATTTAATACATTTTTGCGTTTTGTTCTTCATGTGTAAAATTTAAAAAAAAACTATCAATTCAATATGATAGGTGATTGGTGTCTTCACATATAAAAGTAACGATAGGTACCTAAATCATTTCATTTGAAACTATAATAACCATCAGATATGATTAATACTAAATTTTCAATATTTATATTTAGTTAAAACCACCCTTTTTACCTAAATTATTAAATATATTTCTGTTATTATTTATAAGTTACCTACGTAAAAGTTATAAAAATAATTGAAAAAAGCTTAATTTATGGTGTTGTTAAATGAAATGAAATATTAATTAGAGTTTGTTTGTAAGGAAAACAAATTACACCTCAAAATGATAACCTAGTGTTAATCTGAACCTTAGTTAGATTATTAGATGTAAGGTGTATTGAACTTTTGGTATTTTTAATTTATTCTTTGAATTGAAAAAATAATAATGTGTACGATATAATAATATACTAGTTAAAGAAAAGTTTGATAGAAATATTATTGATAAATGTTTGGTACTTGGGGCCAATATGAATATCAGCATTGTAAACCACAAATTAACATAGTTTTTATTAAGTATCTTACTATGTTTTTAATAACTGTTTCTTAGAGATATTAGCATAACATTACCTAGGTACTTCAATTTTAATACATGAATTACCCTTTGTGTTGCAAAATTCATCTGCTTGTAAATGTAAAAATGTTTTGTAATGCTCTTGCAAGTGCATTGATTGTAATTTGGGAAAAATGTGGAATGCTTCTTGCAAAAAAATAGAAGTTTCCAGTTAATTGTCAGTGTGTAGAAATTATCTTTGTACATTGTTACATTCTGTATTAATGTTTTCCTACAGTCATACCTCTCAAACTAACTTTTTATGAGTTATCTTTCACCAAATACTGTATAAAATAATAATAATCTAAATAATATTACATTATAAATAAATTATTACCTGAGAGTATGATACCAATAACAATGTACTTATTCATTTTCAATATTTTTGTTGCTTGCTATAGTTACAATGTAGTATAATATAAAACTTTTAATAATCCAATATTATGTGTAGGAAGTGATTGGTATTATGAAAAATACAAAATCTTAACTGATCAAAATGATTGATTGATTTCTGTTGCTATTATCATTTTGATATGGGACAAAAAAATGTACATGAAACTTCTATGTTATTGGTGTTATACTGTTATAATTTATTTTATAGTCTTAAGGTCTCCACATACTGCATTGGTGGCGGTAAAATGAGTCCAGACACCGATGCAATGTGTAACCTTAGTATTCTTAAAGATAAATGTATGTTTTTTAAAAATTATAAAATTTATAAGTATAGCACATAATAAAATATTATATATAAATTGTAAAAAAAAAAATGTTTTGTTTGCTGATCACATATTCCATATTCCATATTGCCTGTAAAATTACTAATGACAATAGTTCATATTTTTATATTGCTGTAAGATTTTGAATAAATATCTAAAACAAAATTCATTTTTTTTTTTAGGTTATTGAAATACAACTAGACAAGTTGCCAGAGTATGATGAAGTACTTGGCATTTTAAAGTCTGAACATTCAAATCTACATATATGGGTTAATTTAGCTGTATGTCTTGTTTAATAACTTAACTGATTTTGACATGAATATAGAATGAAGTTATTTTTGTATGAAATTTTAGTTGGAGTATTACAAGAGAGGCAATTCAGCTGCTTTGGTTAGGTTGCTGGAGTCATCACGTAGTAATGCCAGTTTAGAATATAAAGATAGCGATAAGGATCAAATGAGAGCTCTTGATATGTTAGCAGCATACTATGTGCAAACAGCTAATCGAGAAAAAAGTAAAGATAAACGTCGTGAACTTTTTACCAAGGCTACACAACTTTATACAACAGCAGATAAAATTATTATGTATGATACGGTAAGAATGGGGTTATAATTTATATCTTGTATTTTAATTTTATCAAAATGTAATCAAATGTTTTCCTTATTTGTAGAATCATTTGTTGGGTCGTGCTTTCTTTTGCTTATTAGAAGGTGACAAAATTGAACAAGCCGATGCTCAGTTCAATTTTGTATTGAATCAGTCATCTAATAATATACCAGCTCAATTAGGCAAAGCGTGTATTGCATTCAACAGAAAGGACTACAGAGGAGCCCTAGCCTATTACAAAAAAGCATTGCGATCTAACCCTCAGTGTCCTGCTGATGTTCGACTAGGCATGGCACATTGTTTTTTGAAACTAGGGAACATAGAAAAAGCTCGATTAGCATTTGAACGTGCCTTACAGTTAGATTCCAAGTGTGTTGGTGCATTAGTGGGTCTTGCCATCATGAAGTTGAATGGTGAAAATCCTGGTGACATTAAATTAGGTGTAAATATGTTGTCCAAAGCATATACTATTGATACAACCAACCCAATGGTATTAAATCATTTGTCCAATCATTTTTTCTTTAAAAAAGATTATACCAAGTCTGAATTACTTGCTAGACATGCCTTACAAAACACAGAAAATGAAGCTATGAGAGCAGAAAGTTGTTATCAAATGGCTAGAGCTTTTCATGTGCAGGTAAAATGGTTTTTTTTTGTTATACTGTTTGATATAATTTTAATATGATACAACTTTTAGAATAATTATGACCAAGCATTTCAATATTATTATCAAGCTACCCAGTTTGCACCGGTTACATTTGTACTTCCACATTATGGCCTTGGTCAAATGTATATTTATGGAGGCGATATGGAAAATGTAATATTTATTCATAACATTTTTTCTTTATATTAATATTTATTTAAATGCTATTTTTTAAATTCATTAGGCAGCTCAGTGCTTTGAAAAAGTGCTCAAAGCTCATCCAGGAAATTATGAGGCAATGAAAATTCTAGGTTCATTGTATGCGGATTCAAAGAATCAACAAAAACGAGATATTGCCAAAAGTCATTTAAAAAAAGTATATAATTTAAAAGTATAAAAATATAAAAAAATGTAAAAATTATTTATTTTTTTATGACCCTAGGTAACAGAACATTTCCCAGATGATGTAGAAGCTTGGGTAGAATTAGCTCAAATATTAGAGCAATCAGATTTACAAGCATCATTATCTGCATATGGTAAAGCTATGGTTTTAATGCGCAACAGTGCTAATAATTACATTCCACCTGAAATACTGAATAATGTGGCTGCATTAAATTATAGGTATAAACTTATTTCAAAGCAAAACAAATTATAAACATAAAAATGTAATTAATTTTTTTAATTAAAGGCTAAAAAATATGGACGAATCTCGGTCTAAACTTGAAGAATCTTTGAGTTTGTCCAAGAAAATGGTTGAAGCTGACCCACAGCATTATAACTCTATTGCTGTTACAACTACTTACAATTTGGCAAGGATATTTGAAGCACAATGCCAGTTTCAGAAGGCAGAAACTTTTTACAAAGACATTCTCAAGGAGCATCCTAATTATATTGATTGTATACATACTATTTGATTTACATTTATGCTATGATTGGTATAATAATCTATTAACTTATAGGTTATTTACGTTTGGGTTGTATGGCTCGAGACCGTAACCAAATTTATGAAGCTTCTGATTGGTTTAAAGAAGCATTGCGTATAGATAATGAACATCCTGATGCCTGGTCACTACTTGGAAACTTGCATTTAGCCAAAATGGAATGGGGTCCTGGACAAAAAAAATTTGAACGTGTGCTGAAGGTAAATTAATATAAAGCTTGAATATAATCCATATATGATAATTTTGATTGTCTTAAGAACCCATCAACATTAAATGATTCATATTCATTAATTGCCTTGGGAAATGTTTGGTTGCAAACTCTACATCAACCAACTAGAAATAAGGACCAGGAAAAAAGGCATCAAGATTTGGCATTACAGTTTTTTACAAAAGTTTTGAAAAATGATCCAAGGAACATTTGGGCAGCTAATGGAATTGGTTAGTGATTATATAAAATTATGTGCAATTAGGTTGGTAACTAGGATCTTATTGAGTTTTATTTAGGCTGTGGTGTAAGTAGACATAGAAATATTAATTAATTTCATACACAGAGTGGTTTTTAAAATGATTAGTATTTTATTCCATTGTCCTATAATAATAAAATTATTGTTCAAAGATTATTTAGCCGGGTACTCATAAATTGATGAAATAAACAGTTGGTGTGAATTTTAAGTGTCTACAGTATTATTCGTTTTTGAATTACAACAAAATAAGAAAATTGTTACAAGGAAATCCAGTAAATATCCAATGTTTTCACTAATTTAAACTTGAAACATTCATAAAAATTTTATTTAACTTTCCAGAAGAAATTTTTTTTTGATAAAGGTAGACAAACTTGTAAGAAATCTTGTATTACATTT